TCATATCAAAGACGGACTGTCATTTTTAATAAGTTGAGTCCGTGGTACCTTTTCATCAAATTATTAACATCTTATCGTAACCTACAACTATTTTATTTACGAAAACTCTTGGAATTAAGGCGTTTTCAATCTGGAAGGGGGCAAACTTTGTCTATTTAATGAAGTACTAAAAACTCGTAAATACTCATTTGCTTTCTACGTGGATCGTAAGATAATTTTATCACAAAGTCGAGAAAAAAATTTGGCCTATAGAAATATTGAGGCGTTTGGCGTGACCTACATCCCCAAATTTTCAAAATAACGAGGTTATATAGGAAAATGGCACAATATTTTTGTAGGCCACCTTTTTAATCGATTTTGCGATCATTTTATTTTACGATACAAGAAATGGGTATTTATGAGTTTTTAATACCTAATTAAATAAAAAGACAAAGTTTGCCTTCCTCCAGATTGAAACCGCACCAATTCCAAGAGTTTTCGTAAATAAAATAGTTGTAGGTTACGATTAAACTGCAGTAAGTAGTATAAGTTAACAATTATTACAACAAAAAAAAACTTATTATAAAATATCCGAATCGATGTTTGACGTGGAATTTTCGTCACCATTCATGCAACATATAGCATTTCCAAGTCCAATTTAGCATTTTCCAAACCTAATTGGGATTTTTTTCTAATCAAATTTATAATTTTCCATTTCAAATTAATATTTTTCCAAATCAATTTAACGATCTTTATGTCACCTAATGGATTGATTATTTTAGTTTTCTTATTACATTCCTTAGACGTAATAAATAACAAGAAGCATTATATCATTTCAAGACCAATCTTAGAATTTTCAAATTGAGGTTAACATTTTCTACAAGTTTAAATCAAAATGGGTTTCAGGCAATATTTTTATAATTATTATTTTCTTAGAAACATTAATTATGAATATAAAAGTATATATTTTTAAATTCTAAAATACAATTTGTTAGTGGAGCGGGTTCTCAAACACAGCAGCTGTCAACTGCATGAGCTTGTTCATAAACAAGTTTGCACAATCTGCACTTGTTATTGAAGATACGGCTTCTGGAATAATTTCGGTCAAAGTATACTTTGACCTGGTTCACTCAGACTATTCTTTGTCCTAATTTTTAGTTTTGAGGATGCTCTTTCTACCGGGTTTAAAGGGGAAGATTAAGCAGGAAGATACCTCACGATGAGATCAAGTTCTTGCATCTTTTCTTTTGCTTCTGCAGTTTGGTGAATCCTTGCATAGTCCATCTAAGATCTACGTCTAATTGCATCTACGACTATGAAATTTACGACCCACAACAAAGCATAATATTCAGTAATAAAAATGCCTAAATCTCCGTGTGTACTTTTTTTGTCCGGCAGTACATATATAGATAGTCTTTTGCAAATCCATGACACTTTTTATTATTAAGATTTCATATTTTAAATATCACATACCAATGAATATTTAATATTTAAAATAATCTTTCGGGGAAAAAACCCTTTTTTTGTTGATGGATTTAAACATTTCTCAATTGTTGGTACCATTTTCGACATTTATCAAGGATCATCACAGCAACCAATTGTATTGTTAGATAAACAGTAAAATATCGATTCCTCAGGGGAGTGGAACATCCAAAACCATATATATCTTTTTTGAGTTAATTTATGAGGATAAAAAAATATTATTCTATTTCTTTTAAGATAATTATAATTATTACAGACGAAATTATACTAAAGACACTTTTTTCTTTATTTTTTTGACATTAAATTAATATGGAGTTACATTATATTGATACCTGTTTTAGATACGTGAAAAGTTTGTTTCTTCTTTATTTATGTTTATTTTTAATCTGTTTCTGTGTACTCAGATATTTATTCTATTCAATATTTTTTCACTTTGTTGGTACATTTTATTTATTTATACCGCTTCATTTATTTATTATTATTTTGTTAATTTATGTAGTGTTTTCTTTATTTATTTATTAATTTTACTTACTTTATTTTTCTTTTATAATATATTGTTGTGAATGGAGTGTGAATGTGCTCTTTGAACACTATTATAAATGTCCTTAATTGGGACAGATTGTAATTCTCAATAATTATGTTATAATAAATTGTATTAATAACTCCTACATATTAATTAAATCTTGTACAACAAGTTTACAACAATTTTTAATCAATTTATTTATAAAAAGAATTTTTCTAACATCTATGTCACGTTTTTGCATGATGTATGCACTTTTCTATTTATTTTTTATTTTTTGCGGAATGAATGCCCCTTCCGTAGGTTTATTGCAGTGGAGAAAAAAAAAACGAAAGAAATATATAATGGGCAAAAATAAATATGGATACTTCTATTTGTTGCTTATTTTATTTGTTCGTTAGGGATTCTATTATCTGTTGGTAAACATAAAAAGTCAACAAGTATTTTCCATTTTTAATAAAGTATTAAATAAAAAATAGTTAACATGAAGAATAGTCTTTTTGTTAACCAGCAGTTGTTTTCAACTTTTCTCAATTTCAATACAGCAATATTCTGTATAATGAAGAAAAGACATATTGAACCATAACTTCACAATATTATAATATTCACAATATTAGAAGGAGCTGTCAAGGGCATCGGTGGTGAATATCCTCCATGGAGTTTCCGTCTCCCAGATTGTTGTTTTTCGAGCATTAACCAGATTCAGAAAAACCGAAGTATTAATTGGAGACCTGTTAGTGGATGAGGATCTTAGTACATTGATCTCCAAGGGATGGCAGAAATATTGGTATTACTGCAAGAAGCAAACCTTTTCATAGTCTCCAATAAAGTCTAAATTAAGTGGTGAATCTTCTGTCTAGTCCCATACCACACGAACGGTTCTCAATTTTTTGTGGGAAGTTTATCTAACATCTTATGCCCCTTTAAAATGGCATGCAGCAACAGTGCATCGTCGACAACTCCACAGATTATGGTGCAGCAAATTCCTAGATGACAATACAAATTGGAATGCTGCAATGTTTACAAACATGTTTCTTTATTATGTTATATTGTTATATTGTGATCTTAGGTGCTTCATTTTCTACTGAGAACCGGAGATGAGTGCACCGCCACAGTTTGTGCTTTCTTAACTTTCAGCAACTGAAAGCCGTATTGCAATGTATATGGGATGAATTCCCATTGTGAAATCAGTGACAATATTATAAAAAGTATGCCCAATAGGTGCAGAGAATTAGTGCGTAACATAGGATATTACACCGATTATTAAATTTCCAAAATTATTACAATTTGATATCATAAAGTCAAGATCACATAAACCTTTAATTTTATTATTTTTTAAAAGCAGCTTTAATAAAACTTCCGGAGGACAAATACAATCTTATTTATATTAATTTTCAATGTAATTTATTATAAAAATAAATTAAACATCATGGAAATTAATTCACACACAGCGAACAATATACCTATTCGTTTTATCGCAGTATATATAGGTTAGATTTGTACTGCACTGATAACAGCAGTGAAAACCTAACCTCTGATTTGCACGACACCGGCAGTCGTCCAAACGTTGCCGGGTACTCAGAACACTAGCACGACTGTCGTCATGCCGTTTATCCGGCAAATAAAGATTGTCATTTGTCATTAGAACGACAGTAGCACGGCAAAGTGTCGTTTAGACGACAACGACAATTGCCGGACTAGTGTTAAAGGTCCCCATTAGTTTCAGTCTCGATCTAGTATTATCTAGTATTATCGTATAGTATTAGTATAGATCTAGTATCCGGCGTCGTTTAAACGACAGTCGGGTAAGTGTGAAACTGAATTGCCGTTTAACCGGCAACGACTATGCCGGATAAACGACAGCACGACAATTTCGTTTCGTTTAAACGACAACGACAAAAATCGGGTTAGTGTAAAAGCTCCCTATTACTGTCTCTCCCGAATGCAGTGTACACGGCGTCGTTCACCCGGCTGCCGGGTAATTGTGAAATAAGCCTAAAGCGGCAGTGGCCCAGAGACCTGCAGTAAGACTATATTGAAATTCTGGCAATGGCCAGATTCTCCACTCAAATCATGTCTGGTTATAGCCCCTATACTCAGACTCTACTGGTCCTTAATACCAGCGGCTGAGTGAGAGGCGCTGGGATCATCTAGATTCTTGCCTTTCCTTCCACGAGTGGGGGAAATGCTTGGCTCTAAAACCTTGAGTGAATGAATATTTTATAAAATACTGTGTATATTTAAGTACTTATTTTGATTAGTTTAGATTCTTTTTGTTTGGGGGCGGGGTGGCCAAATGGGCTAAAGCGTGTGCAGAGCACCGCGAGTTGTTCCCGGCAACCAGATATATGAAGTTTGGGAGACAAAAATAAGTACGAGTTTGCGTCCCGGTGCCGGAGGGGATTTTAAAATCCCCGCTCTCATCCTCCGGCCAGGGGAAATACCGTATAGCCTAAATGGCGAGGTAGGGAAGAACAAAAAAAATTCTTTTTGATTAGTTTAGTATCTTTTAGTTTATGTACATTTACTTCTAGTATTATTATTTGGTTGTTTATTTATTTTTTATTTATTGTGCATAGTGTGAATGAGCTACTCTTTATCACTATACTATTGTCCTTAAAATGGCTGATTATAATAAATCTCAATAAAGAATTTAAAAAAAAAATCATCGTTTTTGTTGAAACTTTAGTTTTTAAACAAATTTTGTTTTAGTATTGGAAATTTTATAATTTCATTTTTTTATTTTAACAAAGTTGTTTTATTATAAAGCCATAATCAAATAAACAACAGGGAGAATGGTAAATTATAAAAATAATTTTCATATTCATGAAGACCAGTATTTCTATTGTTACTCTTAATCATATAAGAGTATGAAGATTCATCAAATTATGTTATGATTTTATTTTCGTTTTCATTTTTATATGTTTCTAAATGAATCTTAATAAAACAAATCGACGATATATGAACTATATAGATCTTAAGAGATTATTATAAAAATAAATATTTTACATAGATTTACCCGTGGTTCCATTTGATTTTATTGTGGAATCCTTTGACTCTTTGTTAGGCGAATCAATCAATCCAGTTTGTGTATATCCGGAATTCCAAAAAACCAAAATCAGTGTCAATAAATAATTCCGAAACATCTCAGCTCTAGATTAATACAAATGAAATGTAAAAGAATTCGTTTTTATCATTTTAATTACATTATACATATTTTATTGTGAATGAAAATCTATACTTGAGTACGGACTCCCAGTTCACAACAGTAGGTTGACTGACGTGGATTTCCAAAAAAACTGAACTTGAGCAAGATAATACATAATGTTTATTATCGTATTGACAAAACGTCATAAAATATTTACAGTTTATAATTTAATGATGCATAAGCTTTCATTTCATTGTCGATTCCAAGTTTATCGATAGCTTTAATAGATCTATAAGTTTTAATGTCTTTAAATGAGATTTTAATTTCCTTCAATGATATTATTGCCTATTGTTATGAGTTTGGTCCGGATTTAGATGTAAAAAAAAAAATTAAATATACCATTTAATATGCCTCAATTCGTACAATAATATTCAATTTAATATGTAACCAAATGAGTAATAAAAATATATTTGAATTAAAAAAAAAACCGAATATAGAATTCGGAAAATTCTTTCAACCCTAAGAGAATATATTTCTATATCTACATAAAGATCTTGATCGATTGATAGGCAAATGGACATCAAAGAATACATAAAATTGATGATCGACAATGACGCTACTAGATGAAAGCTTTATAAAACGTGACATAGTAGCCGGATGCCTTCCACACCCCAAAAGAAACTTAAGACTCTTTCAGAAGTTTTTTTTTAATTAAATATTTTTTTATTTCAGTCTTTTTAGTTTTTTAGGTATTGAAAATTAATATTCAACACATATGATTAATATATTACCTATAATATGACGACAATCACACTGTAAATGCCCATAAGGACAATTCATTTGAAAAATGAGGTTTTGAACTTTTCTGATCGACCTTGTCCTGGCGCATATTCTAATTCCACAAAATAAAATCTACGATGTTTCATTTCTTCTCGATAAACTTTTGTTAAAAAACTTGTAACTTAAAAACCAGCAAATTGTAATTTAAAATTTTGATTATATAAAGTGCCACTTCCGGTTGCCGATTTAGACGAAATAGTTGCTGTAATAACCCAGGTAAATACAAACCTTTAATATGAAATTTCAATTTCATACGATATTTCGATTTTGAGCTAGACTGTTCACACACACACACACAATTCGAAACTAAATCATCACCGGAAAACTTCGTCGCTTTGAAGATGACTAGGCCGGAGAATTGGATTGCTGCAGCAGACTACACTGCACAAATCGACAGAAGGCTCAGAGCGAGAAAGGAGAGGCCAGGCGATGGCTTAGCTACAGTAAGGTGTCCAATGATGAAGTAGGCTCATAGCCCTTCTATCTCCCGTGAGGTAATGATTGACCGCCGTTCCGTGGAGTTCTAAACATCCTAAAATATGCTGTAAAAAACGTATCAAAAGATTTATAAAGGCTTGTTTCCTAAGTTTATCGACTAATGTTTAAAAACAAAATGTCTGAATTTGCAAACAGACCCAGGTTTTATTTATAAGATTGATATAGTATCATCAAACCTGAATCCGAAAAAGAAATTGTGACAAATTTGAATGTAATGTCTTAATCTCCAGTTCATACTGTTTCCAAACATCTTGCTTAAGTCAAATTATATTATGCAACTAGCATTAAATGACCTAGACGTTTTCCGATCTAACCAAACCTTTGGTTTAGAAAAATATATTGTTTTCGAAAACGTTGACTCATGTGAGGCATAGTCTATAAATTTTAAATATTTGGAGGGCAATGATAAAGAATTAATACCAAAATAAAGAGTGCCCCGCAAGTAGGGGAAAATTTTTATGGGAATAATAGCAGACCTCAAGGCCTACATCCATAAAAGTCCATGTAAACAACGGGCCCATTCTCAGCAGAAAAGTAAAAAATCCAAGTTTAGTGTTTTTTTTAAGTAAGTCATACTTTTTTTATGAATAGAAAGCGATAACTGAAGAAACATTTAATTTAAATAATTAACAATCGTTTCACTGTAAACTAGATAAAATTTTCTTTAAATGAAAATAGAATTTGTCGTTGTTAAAACCATTTAATGAGGACTTTTGAGCGGCTATCTATATTATATGACCACTTTTCTTACTATAACCTCACTGTAACTTACATTTTTTATCTGTAAATATTTTATTTTTACTTTCACTTTCCTATATATGATATGAAATATATAGTAAGGAACAGTATTGCGATCTTGAAAATTTTCGTATCTGGGTTTTCAACGGAAATACATATTTTGAGGTCTTCTGAATCCAAATAAGTAAGTCCTGCAAAATGGTCTATGTGTGTTCGTTCTTTATTTTTTATTCTTATTTCTGAGTGTTTATTTATTAATTTTCCTCTCCCCCATGCCTCTAGAGCAATATGGGTGTATCTGCATAATGTGGTGTTACGTATTAATTCATAATAACACACTACTGCCATAATATCAGTTTACAAAATTTAAAGCTGTGCACACTAGCTCTTCTATTTTTCCTTACATAACATAATAATAATACTTAGTACATAACATAACTCCTGGATATGTTATCACTTCACTTGAACGTATCCTCCGGCCTTCTATGTGCATCGTTATAGGGTGTGCCCTATCAGTCCTTCCCTTAAGGAGGATGAATTGTGTCTTGGCAACAGCCATCCTCATCTTTTTCCCCTCACACCATCTAGCAACTGTGCCAGCGCATCACTCTGCTTCTCTCTTGACTTCAGCACAGGAGGCCGCTACAGAAGCTAGGTTATCAACGTAGGCAGTGGCAGGAAATCGCTTTTCCTCTAACAACCCCAGTAACTCATCAAAGACTAGCTTCGATAGAGCAGGACCAAGGACTGATCCCTGAAGGCAATCCCTATTGCTATAGAAGCTTCTACCTCGTAGTAATTGCCTCTAATCTTTCCTGGAGGTAACTTCTTACTAGAGTGTATATGTTACTAGAAGAATCGTACTTCTGCAGCTGCTGGAGCACGCTAGGCCGCCATACGCTGTCGAAGGCGGAAGATATGTCGAAAAGTAGCAACATGACATAGCGCTCCACCCTCTCCTCACCATCTCTACGCACTCTCAGTAGGACATCAGCGGTTCCTCTGCCACTGGTTGATACATATTGCCGTGGATGACTTGCTCTAGTGAAAACAGGTCTGAAACTAGTCATCAAAAGGTTTTCCAGGACCTTGTTAATCACAGGAATGGGACATATAGGTATATACGAGTTAGGGAGTTGTTTGTTCCTTTTCCCTCCCTTGTAGAGGAGTCTCAAATTAGCAATATTCAATCTTCTCGGAAAGTATCTCATGTCCAAACATTCATTGAAAATTTACAACAGACGGTCTTCAACATACATGATACTGTTCCTCAAGTTCACTGTATCTATTGCATCATCATCAACACAAACTAAAATCTGCTTTGATCGTCCATAAAACCCTCGACATAAAACTCCTTGAGAAGCGATAGTAACATAAGTTGGTCTTACAGTATCCATCGATTTAATGGAAACCCTTTGCCAATATCGGACATCTTAGTCTTATTTGTAGACATTTTCTTGGCTAAACTTCTCTCTGGTATAGGTTTAGACGCATCAACCTTTTTGGCAACTTGTGGGAGAGCCTTTTTCCTCCTCTGCTTTTTCTTAACTTACTGGAAAGTTTCATTCCCCGTGGTCTCAATCAGGGCACCGGCCAATTGCGGTTGTTTTCTAACGTATGGAAGCTCCCGAGATGTCTGAAGTTCTGACAGTGGTATTTGCATGATTTTACATTCCGTCTTGATTCCCTTGGTACTATAGTTACTGATTTTTCCACTAATGTATTTACTATGATATCATAAATTTCAGAGGATGCTAATGTATCCCTAACCACGCGTTGTACTAAAAACGTTTTTTTTTTTATGGTTTTTATCATGTATTCTCTCCATTATATCTAATAATTGTTGAATATTCCCATTATTCTGTTTTTGTACCTTGGCACTCACGTTCCTATCTATTTTAATTTGAATAGAATGTTATCTAGTTAATAGTGAAATAATTGTTAATTACTTACATTAACAATTTCTTCAGTTATCACTTCCTATTCATCAAAAAGGATGACTTACTTCAAAAAAACACTAAACTGGGATTTCCTACTTTTCTGCTGAGAATCGGCCTATCGCTTATATCAACTTTTTTGTAGGCCTTGAAGTATGCTATCACTCCTATAAAAAGTTCTCTCAACTTACGGGACACCCTGTATATGATCAATGATATATAAATATAAATTGAAGAGACGTTTTTTTTCTGGTATTTAATCAAAAATACACAGTAAAAATAATTAAATGATATTTAGTTTTATTTTTGTTAACGTTTCGACCCAAAGTTCAGGCCTAAGGCTAAGGAAAGACCTGATAACATTAGGTATGAGAAACGTTTAACATTAAAAAGAATATAATAACACAGGTGAAAGGTATAGTCTAATAACAGGTAGCTACAATAAACTTAACATTAATACACTAAAAAATTATTAATATTAAGGTAATCTACCTACTCCTTTATCTGTTCTTCTTTTTAATCTAGCCCTGGTTGTGGCTATTCGTTCTATTCGAACAAAGCCTGGTAGAACAATCTACAATCGTCTATCTCAACATCTGGCATGTCATTATCTCTAAAACTCAAGCAGCATTATTTGAAACTTTCGAGGAACTGGGTCTTAGAGTTAATGTAAATAAGACTGTGTATATGAAAAGTTAAAAAATGGAAAAGGAAGTAAATAAGGAAATAGCTTTAAGGGATCAACGTTTTAGGTCTGTTGACCAGTTTAAGTACCTTGAAAGCATGGTCACATGCAATAATAAAATAGAGAGTGAAATAGAGGCCAGAATAGCTGCAGGAAATAGATGCTATTTCTTCCTGCAAAGAGGCTTGAAATTCAGATCACTCTCTAAAAGAATCAAAATCCTCACCTATGTAACCATAGTAGGATCAGTGGTTATGTATGGGTGGACCTTAACAAAATACTGAACTCATGAGAGAGGAAAATATTGAGAAACATATAAGGCAAAATCTTTGAGAATGGAATTTGTAGAAGAAAGAATGAGGAGCTGCGGTAACATTACGGTGAACCTGATATTGTTGATAAAAAGAGCCAGGATCAGACGGTTAGATCAAGTGGAAAAAAGACCAGGCCAAAGAATACCAAAGAGGATGCTGCATGAGAAGCCGAATGGCAAAAGAATTAGAGGGCGCTCTCGGATCAGACGGCTGTAGGATGTGGAGGACGATCTGAAGAGGGTGGGCGATCGAAGATGTAGGGAAGGAGAGAAGTAGCACAAGACCGTGGAGATTGGTTGGCTGTAGTGGAGGACGCTCGGGTTCTTGCAGGACCGTAGCCATTATAATAATAATAAATTCTTTCATGATAATAGAATAGAATATAATTCATTTAATGTTAAGTTTATTAATGTTTGGTTTAATTGATTCTAGATACATGTTATAAGAACTTTCACCTACATATTATTATTTTCTTTTAATGTTAATAGTTTCTCGTGTTATCTGGTCTGAACTTTGGGACGAACCGTCGGCAAAAAAAATATTTCTTTCTTTCTACTTTGTATTTTTGACTGAACAACCTAATCAATTTCTCATTAATTATACATTACCATCAATACACCATTATTAATATAATTATACACGATGAATATATATGCTCATAAAGATATATGATCACTAACAAAATCATTAAAAAATATTTCATGAATTTTAATAGTTCATTTTATATTTGCTATGTTGAAATATTGGTTACTAGGCACGTATTGCAAATAAGTCACGCTTAGCACATCCCAATCTAAAATGATTCTATACTGAAAAGAAGTACTTTTTAAAACCATTCTTTTACGTAACAAATGGAAAATTTTAGTAACATCTAACACACGTGTTTCTATTTGAATTAATTATCTAAGAGATTAGCTTTAAAGAAAAAGTGTTGCTTGGATTGCAATTTTTATAAACAACTTTTGTTGATACAATTTTATGAGACTATACTGATTTTATCTTCGGGGAGTCATAGTTCATTGAGGTTTGGAGTAATTTCATAAGTCCTTTCCTTGCAAAAATAAACAAATTTCTTAAATAACAAGTAAAAAGTCAGTTCAAGAAATTTGTTTGGTTTGGCTTAAAGGCGTAAAACTCTAATGCCAACATCGTTACGAGACGTAAGTATTTTGTATTAGTATATACCGTAAACCATTCAAGGCGACCATTCAAACAAATACCTCCAATGTGTGTGGATGACCAGAAAGCTCTCCTATCCGTGGAACAAGCCTGCCTGGGCAAAATAGAGAAAATATTTCAAGGAGCTTTTGAGTGGTCAAAGCATAGATAGCCAAGAGACGGAGCCGCCTTTCGATCAGGATGGAACGGATGACCTAGAACCGCCTGATGAAGACGAAGTCAGTGAGGCCCTCAACAAACTAAAAAATAATAAGGCCTCAGCAATTGATGGACTTCCTATAGAACTACTTAATCATGGAGGTAATGAACTCTTCAAGCTCCTTCACAACTTATGGGTGACCATATGGACTGAGGAAATAATGCCTACCAACTGGAAGAAGACAGTTATATGCCCGATCCACAAAAAGGGAAACCTATTGAAATTCTATAACTATTGCGGTATTACTCTGATCCCGTGCGAATCCCGTCCGGCAGACTATTGACGTTTGCGGAGCGAGAGCTTGGGCAGTCAGTACCAGTGCGGGTTCAGACGAGGAAAGTCAACGATCGACCAGATATTCTCTCTGAGGACTATCCTGGAAAGAGGACAGGAATATAAGCTCAAAACTCACCACCGCTTCGTCGATTTTAAATTAGCCTACGTCACGATCGACCATCAAAAGCTGTACGATGCATTACGTCAGTTCAACGTCCCCTCCAAGGTTATCAGGCTGACCAAGTTAACAATGTACGAAGTGTTGTGTGTTGTTCAAATAAAGGGCAACGTATCGGAGGAATTTTTTACGAGAAGGGGTGTAAGACAAGGTGATGCCCTTGCATGCCTCATTTTTCTCTTGGCCCTAGAGAAAGGAGTTGGTGATAATACAAACCAACTAAAACATTTGACACTGTTCAGCTCCTCGCTTTTGCCGACGATATAGGCATTATTGGGGGTTCTCGGCAAGCGGTTGCACTATCATTTCTCGACCTGGAGGAAAATCGGCCTGACTGTCAATGAGGAAAAAGCGAAATACTTAGTAACCCAGGAGACCTCAGGAGATGGCACTTGGCAGTTTTGGACCCTTCAGGTTTGAACAGGTATCAGTATTCAAATACCTGGACTCGTAGATCACTGGTGATAACTAGATGGATACAGAAATAAATAAGAGGATTTTGTTCGCCAACCGTTGCTATTATGGTATGAGTCAACACATATAAAGCATCCTGGTGACTACAAAACTCTTATCAGACCGGCTTTAAGTTACGCATCAGAGATCTGGACAATAACAAAGGCAGTCGAGCAGGACCTCTTAATATTTGAACATAAAACTCTAAGAAGAATTTATGGTCCAGTGTGTATGCATGAAGAGTGGAGAAGGAGGAAAAATCAGAAGATCTACCATCGTTTTAATGATGTCAATATTGTTAATTTTATAAGAGCGGACCGTCTCAGATGGGCAGGTCATGTGGCCGGAATGAGACATGATCCCAAAGAACTCGATAGTTGAAATCCTGCAAGGAGCGCGACGAGTAGGAAGGCCAAAGTTAAGATGGAGGGACAGCGTGGAAAAAGATGCCAGGAAGCTAGAAGTTCGAGACTGGATGGTGGCAGCACAAAGCAGACACACCTGGCGAATGCTGTTGGCGGAGGCCATGACTCGCTAAGCGGATTGTAGAGCCAGCATAGATAGATAGATATACCGTAAACCGAGATTACTTTGAGACTAAGATGTTACGATTAGTCCGTGGTGTAGTTCCCTTTTTATCAAATTATTAATATCAACCTTAGCTTCATCTCATCATAACCTACAAATATTTTATTTACGAAAACTCTTGGAATTGGAAATCCATCTGAATATCGGCGAACTTTGTCTATTTAATTAGAACTAAAAACTCTTAAATACCCGTTTGCTTTACACTTGGATCGCAAGATAATTGGATTACAAAATCTAACAAAAATATATGGCGGTTTGGCCTTCATAACCAACCACGTTGTAGATCACGCTAAACGTTCCAATATTTGGTCAAACCTTCTTTCTCGATTTTGTGATCAAATCGTCTTACGGTTCAAGTGAACTATTACTTAGTTCTAAAGTATTTACTTACTAAGTAAATACTTACTAAGTACTAAGTTTTTACTAACAAATTAAATGGATAATTTTGCCGATCCCCAGATTGAAAACACCCTGATTCCGAGAATTTTCGTAAATAAAATATTTGTATGTTACAATGAGTTGAAGCTATTTACGTGGTTTCAGGCGAATGTTAATCATTTGATGAAAAGGGTTCTGTACCACGGACTATGTGTACTACAGTTTATTTTGAATTTAAAATCACCCAGCGGACTGAAAAATTGTCATATCAAGATTAAACGAAAGTTGCCTCAATAAAGAGATGTTTTAGCTATCCAGGTAATTTGATATTCTAAATAAACTCTAGTACATTGTAGTACATAATAAACCCTACTCCCGAAATAACCCCGGTTTACGGTATATATATATTTATTTTTTTCTTATTGCAATATTTTTTCTGAAAACAATTTAAATATTTGTAATTAAAATACAATATATTTTAAAACTCCAAAATACTTGGCAATTTAAATATTGTATTTTAAAATAATAATTTTTATTAATACAAAACTTAAAATTGGACATACAAAAATTAAATTTGCGATCTGCAAATTTCTTTCCAATGAGCAAATTTTTAGGCAGTTTCACAGCGTTCTATTACAATCCAGGAAATAGTTCAGTTCAGCAGGTCTCTTGGCCAGCGCCTACGTAATCGTCGAGGTGGGCTGTACGGGTTTCTAGTGCTTTTAAGGTTTTCTGTCAGAGGATTTGTGTTGTAAGTTAGTCTTTGGTGAAAGTTGTTGTAGTTTATTTTTGCAGTGTCTGAAATCGTTGGGATGTTTAAGTCCGTATGTAATCTATCGTTTGTGACATAAAATGGTGCGTCAACTATTCTTCGTAAAATTTTGGATTGGAAAGACTGGATTTTTTTAATATTAGAAGTTTTAGCAGAGCCCCACAGTTCTATACCATAAGTCCAAATTGGTTTTAGTAAAACTTTGTAGAGGGTTAGTTTATTAGTCAAAGATAATTGTGAACGTCTGTCAAGTAACCTAGATAAAAGGCCGTATCGTCTATTATATTCCATACATTTTTGTCTAATGTGTGTCCTCCAAGTTAGTCTTTGGTCGAGATAAAAGCCCAAATATTTAATTGCCTCGGATGCAGGAATTTCAATGTCATTAAAACATATTTCGGGGGAAGGGGTATGATTAAGAGTGAATACTACGTACACACATTTTTTTCATTCATTTTAATTTTCCACCTTTTGGCCCAATCAGCAATATCGTTCAAGTGGTTTTGAAGAGTGGTGCATGCTCGAATAGGATTTTCATCTGAACTGAGGATTGCGGTATCGTCAGCAAAAGTAGCCAGTAGGGTGTCACTGTGTTACGGTAGGTCAGACATATATATATTAAACAATATTGGCCCTAGGACACTACCCTGAGGTACTCTTGCTTTTACAGATTTAATGTCTGAATGTTCTGTCCCTACTTTTATTACGAAATGTCGGTCTGATAAATATGAGAGTAGTATTAAATAATAATTAAAATAATTTTTCTCAGGTCTGGTTCATGTTGGTTTCAACTTTTTTTTTTAAATGTTCTTGTAGAAGGTCAACTACCGAACCTTGCATCGCCGCATATACACATCAACATAAATATATTTGTAATAGTGTATTAATGTTTTTAATGGTTAGGATTAAAAATTTAAATATTACTAAAAATGTACTTTTATTTATATATGTACACAACAACCGATTAAAGTCAATATTGAATAGGTTTCTTATTCGTCTTATGTTAGTTTTGATCACATAATACAAAAATATACTTACAAATAGAAATTCATTTTTTATCTTTAAAATGATTCAGTTCTTTATTAACAATACCTATTTAGCCAGATGGTGTTGCAGCAGTGGTAGGAGCAGTGGTGACAACGGTTGCCAAGGTTATTGGAGACGTTCCAGGTGTCGTAGGAATGGTCGTAGTTGTTGATGCTGTTGTAGTGGAGGGAGTGGTAGTTGTAGGAATTGTTGTAGTGGTGATACTCGTCGTAGCCGGTGTAGTGGTTGTGCTTGTGGTAGTGGTCGTAGATGGCGTGGTCGTTGTGCTTCTGGTAGTTGTCGTAGTAGTCGCACTAGTAGCCAAAGGCCTAGTAGTTGTAGCGACTGTTAATGGCGTTGTTGAGATAGAGATGGTTGCACGTGAAGTCGTTGTGGGTCTTGTAGTTGTTGATATCCCGAACATTCGTTCTATCATCGTTAGCTTGGCGTTCTTAAGATTCTGGAAAAAACTAATTTTAGCTTGTCCAACGGAGTTCACCACGTCTGCTCCAGATTTCATCATATTGGTTCCCAAACCGACTGCAGTTCCGACCACTGGGATCGGGGCGGTCATTCTGGCGCCCACATCTGCCGACAGATATTATATATTATATTTATTCGTATATATATATATTATATATATATATATATATATATATATATATATTATAATCAAGATTATCTATGTTATACATAGAATTGATTTAGTTTCATACTTTAACTATAAAAACAACAATTTACTTAATAAGTTATTAGCTTATACCTTTGAAAAATGTCCATCTAGTGTAATAGTTAAGTAATTATTAACTCACATATCCGTGATGTTACACTAATGCATCATTCTGACTCTCTCAAGACCTCTCTGTTTGGCGATGACGAATCTTGGTTTTGTATGATTCCAAGAAACCTAGAACCATTCTCCTCTCTTTAGTTTTTCAATAGTATTATAGTTCTTCGAAGACAATTAAAAACATCTTCAAGACAATTGCAACATCTTCATTTTTGAATCCTAGACATGTCAAACGTAACCCATGGCAACCATATTACCCAAGAGACTTCCGGCAAAACCATGGTATATGTCGTAAATTGTACATTTTATGGCTTTCTTATCCGTTTCAAAATATTAAAAATAAAATTTTGGATTTTGAAACCATTGCGGAAAAAAAATAGATTGATAGTCTCACCAAGCGAGGAGTAGAATTGCCTCTACCAAACCATCCAAAATCTTATGATTCAATTTGGCGAATGGTAATTTTTCGATATGCTATGGTAATAATTCGAATGGTAAGGAGGAAACAACAAGAAAGAGAAGGACAAACAAAGATGAGGTGGAAGGGAAACTTTAAGTGTTTAATAGAAAACCCGATTCTAGCTGACCTACCAAAAACAGATGCAGTAGCCTGCTTCCGTCTGGCGACTGGCCACGACTACCTGCGGTGTCATCTTCACAAAATAGGCGTGGCTGAGGATCCTTAGTGTTCAATATATAACCAACGGAGGATGGATACAGACCACCTAGACCAGAGGTTTCCGTCCTTCCAAGGTCGATGGCGCAAAACTTCCACGCTCCTTCCCCCTTCTCTCCTTCCAAGATATTTTATTACTCACCTCTTCTTAAGAACAGAGCAAGCTAAGGTAGAATTGGAAAAATTGTAGATCATTTACAATTACACATGCGGTATGTTTCATGGTTTTCCCTTTATCTCTTAGTCCGAAAATTCATAACCCAGTCGAAATTCGTCCCCCTCTAAAGTTAAAAATACTTCAAAACATGCTCCCCTAAAACATTTTGACTACCCTCGACCTAGACACGTGTTCTGCATTGACGGACATAAGAAATAAGATGTTTGTAAATGAATATATGAAAAAATCTAATTTATACTAGGCAGCATGATGTCGAATGGCCGAATGACATCGGGATAGTAAAAAAATAATAAAAAACATTTGAAACCAATAAGTTTTAAAAACCTTCGTTTGACACCTCATTCATCGAAATCGATAGCTTCTGTGAACCATATTATTCATAGTGTTGGTTGTTTACCTTATCGCTTAGTTCTCAGATGTATTAAAAAACTTTAGAATCCGCTGTTACATTTAGACCGTTTATTTATAAAGTCAACGGATAAGTAACTTACTTTCTTACGAAACCAGAGTTGATTTTATCAAGAGGACTTACCTAATGCTTGTTTAGTAGCATTGACTACAGAGCTCAGGACTTGAGACTTGACACCAGCAATCGTATTAACAGCCTGCCTTGCCCCATTGAGCATACCCATAGTGGCGTTATTCACGATACCCTGTCCTCGATTTCCGGGAAGCCAACTGAAGAGACGCATCGTATTCCCCCCATCAGGAATCGCCGCCACCATTAGGCAGCATATAAGAATGATCTTCCAGGACATTTGGTACACTCTATCCTACTCCCAGTTCCCGCTTTTATTCTACGGAATAATTTGTTCCTTCTCACGTCCGACACGCCTAACTGGGTAAACAAGAGCACTGACACATCTCTTGTGCGTTCCCACGAAGCACCATCTACACTATCTACAGATCAGTTTAGAAAAAAACGTTACAAACATTCAGACTACATACAAACAATAGGTAGTTGGACTATTCAAATAACAAAATATCAAGCATTTGCTTCCTGAAGAAACCTATGAACTCTAGCCACAACTGTTAGTGGCTTTCGGATCCAAGCACCTCTTTTCCTCACAAAACAGAACATTATTTTTTTTTTTTTTGTCGGTCCATATTTGTTACTGAGATACGAGCTAAGTAATCATAACATATACTCATGTGAATAACGGAGGAACGGGTCAAAATGGAAGAGCGGGTTGAACACTGGAAAATAATAAAAAATTTCATAACTTCCTATATAAGTAATATATAGCTTCGGAAGTAAAGTAGCAAAAATTCCCATGTTCTTGTCGGATTTTTATTTGTTTTAATTTTAATGCCTATTAAAAATACATAAAATTATACAAATAAATAGTATTTCATACATGTATTAGCATTTCGATAAGCGAAGTATTGTTTTAACAAACATTCGAAAATACAAACATTGACTTCTAAACGTTTTCGGCTTTGCTTCCGAAGATCAATTTTTAATACGTTGAATTAGGACATCCATGTTATCTACATTTACGTTGTATACTTCGTCTGTGAACAAGCCCCATAAACAATAATCTAATACTGTGACATCTGGAGATCTTGGAGGCCAAGTAATTGGACTATTGCACACTAGGGCGAGCTAATGATGATTTTGGACATAGCGAGAAAAAACAAAAGTTAAAATTTGGAAGTTCTACTGCATTAGTGACAGACTAATATCGTTTCTTTATCATTCCTAGCATTTTTTTTAAATTAATTATCGCATTAAGAATCTTTTCTATATTTATATCTGATATTTGATATTTATATTTGATCTTCTAAAAACTGTTTTCAAGCCTAGCCCCAATCGGCCACCTCGGAACTTATTGAATATTTAAGACGCGGGAGCTTTGAACGGTGACTACCATTACTTTTTATTCATTTAATTCTTTTTTACTGGCGTATTCGAGTTACTATGGACCCAATTTTTTACTAAATAGTATTGAATTGTCTATACTGACCGAATTATAAACATATCATAAGTTTAATAGCTAAGGATTGTAAAAATAAAAAATTAAAAGAATGTTATTTCGTGCATGTAACTTTATATAATTATATTTGATTATAATACGCCGTTATGAAGTAGGTAATAAATTATTCAATATCTGAACGATGTAATGTTTAAAATACAAACTATAAGATATGGACAAAAAAAAAAACTTTCGGCCAAATATTAAATCCTAAATCCACGAGCCCCCGATTTCAGTGAACATTTTTTTGTGATACTAGTTCATAAAATATTAGACCCATATTCGAAGGTCCTTCCCATTGGGCTTCAGAAACTGAGAAAATAATATTTTAACTTTTTTTACTTTCACTTACGTATATATGTAATATATAGTAAGGGTAAGTATTGCGATCGTGAAAATTTTCTAATCACAGTTTTCAACGGAAATACATGTTTTGAGGTCCCAAGAGTTCAAATAACCAAGTGTCACAAAATGGTCTGTGTGTGTATGCGTCTGCGTGTGTGTGTGTTAACAGTCTAGCTCATAAACGAAAAGTCCTACGAAACTGATATTAAGTATTTAAGATTTGTATATGGATCGAATGTGACAGCAAATTTTTCGTTAAAATCGGCTAACCGGAAGTACCACTTTATATGAACGCTGAAACACATTTTTTCAATTTTCTCAAAAACGACTCTAACGATTTTGATCAAACTCGGTGTATCATTGTATAATTAAGTGATCTTTAATATCATTTAGATCTTATTCCCGTTGATGTCACTTTACAGGGCTTAAATGCCCAATGTTCATATATGTCTTCCTCTAAAGTACCTTTAATATGGTTTATTTTAAAAAGTTAACCATTTCACATTATACAGAGTTGCGAAAAAATGTTACATATAATTTTTGCAATAATTTGATAAATTAATAAAGGAGAAAAAAAAATAAAAATGCAGAAAAACCTACGTTCAAACAGACTGTAGCGCCTAAACGAATGTACCGATTTCAATGAAAGTTCGCTAAAGTCATTTTCTCCATACCGTTTAAATTTATCTATATAACATACTTCAACGAAAAGAAGCTGGAAAAAGTTACGAGGGATGTTAAAATTAAATTCCGAATAACTCAAAAAGTATACGCTTTTTTGTCGATATTGTAATAAAATGTTTCAAAGATATTTAAATTGCCTAAAAAATGAAAGAAGTTTCATCAAAATCAAAGCACTATTAGTAGAGATATCGCCATTTTAAAATATTTTTACTTTCACTTGCGTATATATGTAATATATAGTAAGGGTAAGTATTGCTATTGTGAAAATGTTCGAATCACAGTTTTCAACGGAAATACATGTTTTGAATAACTCAAAAAATATACGATTTTTTGGGAATATTGAATGGTTTTTTAAAAGTTTATGAAATTTCCTAAAAATTAAATCGTTAAAATCGGACAATTAGGAGGAAAGAAATGGTCTCTAGTTTTTTTCCCTGAAAAGGTAAAAATTGGAATAAATTTAAAATATATTTTTTTTATTGTTGAGACCAAAAAAACTTTTTTCTACAGATATTTAATAAAGTGTCTTTCCTAAGAACATCTTTCATAAGAAAGTAGTACCTATATTTATACTTTTATTCTCAGTTCTATATTTCAACACTACAATCACCACCTCTTGAATCAATATACTCATTGTCTGCATAGATAACTTTTTCAACTAAAAATATTACTAAAATGACATCACTCAAAAATGTTGAAATTGGAGTTAGTCATTCTGTGGTTTATAAAAGCAGATAGAGTGAATAGATTTTTATTGCCTGTCGTAGATATATTAAATAGATATTTTGTAATTATAATGGTCTTAATGACTTGTTATCTGTAAGCTTTAGCTCCTTTTAAAATGCACTTCAAAAAATTTTACAATAGCCCCGGTAAGTGAAAGTTGTGTGCTGCGCGCCCCAGATTTTTATATTATCGATTACTGTCTCTGCTAAGTAATGAAATAACTCGTATTTTAATCGTTTAAATCTATAGCTCTCCATTTAGCTCCATCTATAGCTATTTGTATAGCTCTCCATTGCTTGTAGAATCGTTTGAATACAATACTGAGGAGTAATGAACGTTTCATCATTTTTTTTTTATTATTGCTAATTTTTTCCATTTTTGTTTCTCTAACATGGCGTCACGTCAAGATACAATTTCGAATACTAATTATAAAGAGGACGAAATGATTAACATTTTACTCGCTTATAGTATGGACGAATGATTTTTAGTTTTTTAAAATATTTTAATCCAATGCAAAAATTAGTCGACTAGAGCCGAATTTACCCGAATGAGCGTTGCATTGCCGAGCGTGATGGCTCAGACTCATTCATTGCCCATAAAAATAGTGCTAAAAATACGTTTTCACTTTTAAAAGTTACATTGAAATCAGTGACCCTACATATGTAATATCCCCTAGTGAGTAATTTGAACAATCTAAAAAAAAAAATGCACTTAATATGATGTAGTCGAAGATTATATTAAATAACCAGGTATCTCTTAAACAAAAGACATTAATCTTCAACTCCATGGTGCAGGCTATGATGTGTTACGGAGCACCGTTTTTGGGCTACCAAGAGTTCAAGGAGATTGAAAAACTACAGAGGTATTTTCTAAAAAAAGATGATTGGGCTCCCAGATAATTCACCTAACTACATGCTATATCTCGAAACGGGATTTGATAATTTGTGTATTTACACTTTAAAATTGCATATACAGAAACCTTTATTTGTATTTAAAAACATCCACTAATTATACATTGTATATATGGTGTGAGTGTGTTCATGTATCACTATACGCCTAATGAATTGCGCACTACGATTTGTTTTCGGAATCTCAAGGGATACGCATATTACCCAGTATTACACTGAGTTGAGGTGTCTCTACCCAACCTATGGCCCTCAGTACTTCCTAGCCACCTTTCTGTATCAAATCATTAGAACTCATCGACCCCCCTATATTTTTCACAGCTTACAATTCAAATACTCCATCCAATCCCGTCCCACCAGATCTCGTACTTCCGACCTCTATCCTCCTCACCCAACAGCAGCGTTTGACAAATCCTTTGCAATACAAGTCGCCTCCCTCTGGAATTCCATCCCTGCTGATATTCGGCTTGCTCAATCAGTTTCCTCTTTCAAACCTCTCCTCTTTAAGCACCTACTCCTTTCTCAATCCGACTGATTGTGAAATATACTTAAGAGAAATATCTAAGCACCGCCAGAGACTATCTCAATTTATTAAGGTTATTTTAGTTTGTCATATATATGTACAATTTACTTGTTCTTTACTTTCTCTTTCAGTATTTTTATCTTAAGTCAACTCTTATTGTAAATATACAATCAAATTGTAACCACACAGACATACAATCTGCATTTATATTTTGTTCTTAAGGGACAACAGTCGCAGAATAATAAATTTTTTTTTTCATACATTAATAAACTATTGTCCACGTGACAGATTGTTATAATTCTAAATTTTGTTCACAAAAAAAAAAAATAATAAAGAGTCAATTAAATATTAATAACTGTATAACGAGCACCAAGCTATTTAATCGGTTGAATTTGGAAAATAGCGAAAACCATAAAAATAAAAATAAATAAATTAATTTAATTTAAAAAAGAAGAATTCGACGCGGAGTGAGCTACGAACTCGGAACCTATGAGTTTAAAACATACGTTAATTAACCTTATAACCTATCAAACCTTCTTACTTGGTTAATAATGACTTTCCCTATTCCCCTGAATAGGGTTTTTCAATTCCTTATTAAACCTAAAAAAAAAAAACAATATAATTTATACATAAAACGTGAAAACAAACTGAAGAAAAAGAAGAAAATAAAACTGGCTATTATTAATATTAATGATGAATTTACTTATTTCTATTGATTTAAATAACTTTTAAAGGAAATAAAAATTATGAACAAGAAATTAGA